TGGGTACGTATTCGTTGCTTTATAATACGTTTGTTCTGCTTTTTTGAGAAATTTCTTCTTCTTGTTGAAAAATTAATACCTTCTCTTAATTGTTTCATCCACCATATTGAATCCGAAATTTTGAATTTTGAAAATTTAATATCACATTCGTAATTAGTGATAGCGAAAATCTCCGAGTGACAAATTACAAGCAAATTTGATTAATTTTTAATTTCTTCTTTCTTGGCCATATTGAATCCGCCATTTTGAATTTCAAAAATCTAACATCATATTCGTAATCAGCAGTCGCTAAAACGACCGAGTGACAACTTCGATTTCTAATTTCATCGTCCGCCATATTGAATCCGCCATATTAAATTTTGAAAATTCGACAAGAACAATTTAGAAAAAGTCTTGAAATATTTACTTTTTGGCAAATTTGAACAGCACTAAAAGTAAAGATTTAATGTTTGATAAAAAAATAATGTTTGTAGATTATGATTGTACTGAAGACGTTTCAGTACAACATTTTTTTAATCTTTACATCCAATATGTCAAATTTTAAATAATTCCAAGTGAAAAAGAAAACTTATATGCACTTTTCTTGAAGAACCTCTGTTTTTAAATTTAAATTGTCTTTGCAATAAAAATAAGAAAACAAATATTAAATTTGATTAATCTTTGATTTGACTGTGTAGCTGATACAGGGTTAAATCAAATGTTGATTTGCTCGTTTGTTGCGAACAAAGTTTTTTTCAATCGATAATAGTTGATTATAGTGTGACCATAAAAATGAAATTTTCAGTGTAATTTAATATTATCTTCTTCTCTTTTTGTGAAACTTAATCTAAAAATCAGCATGACCGATTGATTTCAAACCCCCTTATATTCTGTTGATGCGAACCATCTGGTTGGTATACTTGCGTCTTCTTTCATTGTTTTATCTACACCAGCTGTGCTCTTTTTTATTTTAATCTTTTATGCGAAACAAATTATCTTGAAAATTCTAAAAAGTAGATTTTTCATAAAAATTAATTGCAAATTTTTTAAAATGTTTTTCTTTTTATAAACTTTTAATCGGTCTAGGTAAATAGTGTTATTATTATTTTCAGTTTTACTGTATTTTTCATTCACAACTAGGGAATAATTTTAAGATTCAAAAGCGCAAGACCAGAAAAAAGAGGATTTTGAGAAAAGTAGAGTAAAGACGATTTAAAAAAAGTTTTTTGGCCTTTATTTATAATTTTTTAAAAGTTCTGACATGCTTTCACTTTCATTTTTACTTTCACAGATTTATATTTTTATTTTCACTCTATCAACATTTTATTTTTACCTTTCATAGATTAAACTTTTACTTATTACTGAGAAAATATTGTACTCGATTCAAGTAAAAAATAATTTTAAGTGATTTTTTTTAGGTAATTGAAATTAGTTTGTAAGCTTAATCCCAATACATAGAAAATATATACTGCTTTGATACAAAAATAAAATTTGTTTAAATAATTAAATGTTTAATTCAAACATATTTTCTGTTTTGGTTTAAACAAAATCGTACATTTCGTAACAATTGTGAACTGATGGTGTTTTTGAAACGAGTTGTAAGCGAGGCGCCGAGCCGCAAACTGCAAAAAACTGCCCCTCGACTACAAAAAAACCGACTCAAAGAGTCAAAGGATTAATTTTCATTAACTATCTAAAGGTAAACAATTTATTTCAGTATTATTGTTGAAAAACCTTTGGTGTGGCCTACAAGGAGAAGGGTACTTCTATTTCTATTTCTAGCGAATCTTTTAGGTTGGTATAGCAGATGGCCATAATTTTGCTATATATCTACGCCTGCGCAAATGAGTTTATCGTGACGCGTGTTTTCAGTAGTGTGTGTGCTACTATTCTCGATAAAAACGTCGATTCATTCTGTCCTTTTTCACGTGGTTCATCGCAGTCGTTACATTATTGTTCTTTTTCGCACTCTGGGTAGTCTTATTTGGTCTTATTTGCACTCCATACGAACAGAAGCTCTTATGATGCTCTGTTCAAGTAGGGGAAAGGTGTACGAGATGATCTCCTGGGACAAGATGATCCTTTCGAATTTTGGAGAGCCTATTAGCATCACCTTTTAGGCAAATACGGTAATACGTTGCCAATGACATAACTACCCAGGCGCGAAAGACCAATGCTGACGATGGATTGAAGCTTGATTCAGTCTTGAACGCCCAGCGTGGGTAACCCAGTGTTGAAGCAGTCTTTATATCACTGTCACTCAACATTGATTCAGCATTGGACACCAATGTTCGTCCCATGCTCGATTCAAGGCTCGGTCAATCTTCGTGAGTGAAGCTTGAATATCTAATCTTAATTCAATTCTGAATCAATCTTGACAGTTTATTTATTATTGACGTGTGCATTTAAAAATATCGAATATAAATATTTATAAATTATTTAATATTAAAATATTTTTTATGATAATTTTATATACTATTTAAAAATTATTATTATTAAGATATTAATTAGTAAATAAATATTAATATTTATTTAGTATATAATATTTATATTAATTAATAATAATAATAATTATATATTATTATTATTATTATAATAAGAATAATAATAATAATTATTATTATTATATTATTTATTATTATTATTAATTATATAAGATTCATATAAATAAAGTTAAATTATATATTATTATTTTTTTCTTGCTCAGTGTCAAATTATTGTTTTCAAAGTCCAAGAGTTTCGTTTGTCTGAAAAATTTTCAGTAAAAAAAATGTTCATTAGGGTGTAATAAATATTTATGCCTAGTAGTTTCACACTAGGATTAACTGTTTAGTAAATATGTATTATCAAAAAACTATTTTTTGTCAAACGCGTGCGATTAAGGCCTAAGCACAACTGGTTCGGTTTCGGGAGACGGTTTCGGGATATGGGCTTCCTAACCTCAAAATATATGTAAATCTTACCACCCATATAATACTTCTGGATTTAGCATTAGAAACTCACGTATGCTTAGTGATTATAGTTCACGTAGTTCCCGCAAGCGGCAACAGATGGCGCGTCTCGCGTCCTGCTTTGGGGACTTATGTTCCTCAACGTTGCTCCTAATTCTAGTGACTTTTAATTATCACGTGGCTAGTGACTTTCCTCTGTACAATTCTTATGATTATTGTTTGTCTGGCTATGCTCAGAGTAAGAAGGTTTTCTCGGAGGTATTGTTAACCTCAATTTATATCTCAAATTAAATAAATATAATAAATAATTGTTATTGTTAAATATGGAGTCAGTATTATTGTTCACGTATTAATGGGATCCTTCTAATTTAATACCAAAATCCCATAGTGGTGACCCCGACGTGATCTTCGCGTCGGAGTGAGTGTGACAATACAATTTTTTGTACTCGAGATTATCTCTGTCAGTATGAGAAATCTAAATATATCTCAAGTAATTTTCTGTTGAGAAAGAATTCCTTGATTAATCCCTGGCAATATTTCCGAGGAGATAAGTGATTTTAAGTCATCATTTTTGGAAAATATATTTGCCATGAGGTCATGCCATGTGCCAGCCATTTTGGAGTTAACCAATTACCTGAGTCGGTAATTTTTAAACAAGCCAGTTTTATAAAGGATTCACCAACAGTGAGGAGATCCAAACGAATTTTATTTTTGTTGTAATGCAAGGCAGAATATTCGTTGTTACAAACTTTTTTTTTTCTCAACCTCGAAGGATGTTCAGCTGATCTGTGACGTTATTTTCACGGAGGTTGCAGTCAACAGTATATTTCAAATGCTTTTTGAAACGGCGCATAGGCATACCACTCCTGCCTATGCTAACAGGTATGCGAATTTTTCCTTCCTGAGTGGAATATAACAGTTTCAAAATATTCTGTCCCCTTATATGTCCCTTCTTTTCAAATTTCACGGCGTATATTCTGGAGTTCAATCACGAGGCCTGGTTCCTGACGACTCTAACTTTTGGCGCCAATTGAATTGAAGGACTTTATTTTGAATGGAACTGTACATCTCATATACCGGCTGCATCTATCTCGAGGGACGATTCCTTATGTATTCAATCTTTATCGCTTTTATTTGTTTTTTAACGTATCTTTTGACGTAAGTTATTTTTCTTTTTAATTTTCAATTACAATCGACGCAAACTAATTTAAGTAAAATTTTTTTTTTCTCTTTAAAAACTCATAACATTATAAAAATTTCTTATATTTAAATTGTGCTTCCGCGCATTATTTTTTGATATAACATTTTCTTTTTTTTGCGATTTTATACTATTCGTGAAAATTTTAGAAAAATATTCAAAGAATTTTATATTTAAAATTTTCTTTTATTTAAAAATTATTTTTTTTACAATCTATTGTTCAAAGAATTGTTTTCAAAATGAGAATTGTTTTGACTACACCCATGTGGGTTGATAACATAATTTTCGTTGTATCATTTTATGTAATGATTGCAATTCTACTTTTTTTCGCGTCATCTTTACGAATGATTTAAAATTGTTTGTAATTAATTAACGTAAATTTTTTTCTTTCTTTTATTAGTTTGAAAATAATAATACTTTTAAAAAACTTAAAATTGTTACGACCTTCAATGACATTTTTGATAATGTTATATTTTTGTCTATTTGTTTTCCAATAATTTAACTGCGACATTGAGAATATTTTATTAGAAATATTTTATTCAGCGATAGTGACAACGATATTTTTGTTTTTGCTTCCTTAAAATTTTTGTTTTCTCTATTTCGTATCCGTCTTATGCGTTATACTATTTTATGTTATATGACTCGAATGGCGTTTCGATTGCTGGATTCGGGTATGAAATTTGTTTTTGATAACGAATAATTTTTTTTCCTTTCTCTAACTCATTGAGGTTCCGAATATTATTTTATTCTTGAAAACATTAAAGCATTTTCTTTTCATTTTAATTATTTTAAAGAATTTTATAAATATTTATAATATTTAAATTTCGCTTGTGTTTTTCTTTGTTCTTATTTGAATTATTTTTTTTCTCAAAATGGCATGTAAAGAAGAGGTAGATCAATTAAAGCTCGAACTTGACGAGGCTGTCGCGCGCATCGCGGAACTCCAAGTTAATAATCAAGTGGATGTTACTCGTTTATCAAGGCTTACGGGATTTTACAATGAGGATCCGAGTTTGTGGTTCATTCAGGTCGAGGCTGCTTTCGCGAACGCGAGAATTACGAGCGACAGAACAAAAGCTAACCATGTTATATCCGAGTTGGGTCCGGAAGTGATCGTGTGTATTCGTGATTTGATTACTGAGGATCCTCGTCCGGACGATCTTTACGGAAAGATTAAAGCGCGAATTATAAGTCATTTTTCTGTTTCTTCTGAAGCGCGTCTACGGCAGTTGCTCAAGGGTGATGTTTCTTCTGCAGGGAAACCATCACAAATCCTTAGTCGATTGAATAACTTAAATGATAATCGGTGCGGTACCGATATCATTCGATCTATTTTCTTGGATCAATTGCCCGTTCAGCATCGTGCTATTTTAGTGGCGTCGCAAATCAAGGAACTTTCTGATCTTGCCATCATGGCCGATAAAATATTCGAGAGTGTTGAACTGACAACCGTAAATGTTGCTTCAACTAAGGTTGAAAATTTGCATACTTTCAACCTCGAGGAGAAAATTGATATGTTAACCGCGAAAATTGCTTCTTTAGAGCGAAAATCTGATCGTTCTCGCGCGAGAGGACCTACTGAACGATCTCGATCCAATTCAAAACATAGAAGTCGATCTAAATCTACAAATTCAAATGGAAGGTGTTTTTACCATAGTAAATTCGGGAAGAATGCAAAAAAGTGTAGAGAACCGTGTTCGTGGATTGATTACTCGGAGAAAAACAAAAAGAGCGATTCGGAAAACTGAATGCCCCCCACTTCGTGAAAACAATCGGGGTGGGTGTCTCGTCTAAGCGTCTTCATATTTTTGATCGCGAAACTCGGATGAAGTTCCTCGTCGACACTGGCTCGGACATCTCTCTTGTTCCTGTAAATAAAAAATCTAAGGTTAAACCGACGGAACTTGTTCTTTTTGCTGCTAACGATACTCGAATATCAACCTACGGCGAAAGAAACTTATCCTTAAATATCGGGTTGAGGCGTGCGATTTCGTGGAACTTTTGCGTAGCAGCAGTCCCTTATCCCATCATAGGAGCGGACCTGTTGTCTCATTTTGGCTTAGTCGTCGATCTACGTCGTCGCAGATTGGTTGATCCTCTCACGCGTGTTGAAGTCGTTGGTTTTTTGAAGGACGTATCTCTTCTTGATGTGGCAACCACTGATCGAAAATCGACTTATGCGAATATTTTATCATTTTTTCCCGAAATTACTGGTTTAGTTCAACCCCAACGCCCGGTATCGTGTGATGTTCATCATCAGATCATAACGGAAGGTCATCCAGTTTTCTCTCGTGCACGTCGTCTTCCACCGGATAAACTGAAATACGCGAAGGATTGTTTCGATAAATGGGTTAAAGCAGGAAAGTGTCGTCGTTCTTCTAGTAAATGGGCATCTCCGATTCATTTAGCTCCGAAGGGGCACAATGAGTGGAGAGTCTGTGGGGATTATCGCGGTTTGAATGCCATTACGATTCCGGATAGGTATCCAGTGCCACATATCCATGACTTTTCGATTAATCTCCACGGAAAGAAAATCTTTTCAAAACTTGATCTTGAGGCGGCATATCACCAGATCCCAATTTCGCCCGAAGATATCGAAAAAACGGCTGTTGTCACCCCATTCGGTCTTTTCGAATTTGTGGTGATGACATTCGGTCTGCGCAACGCTAGCCAGACTTTTCAAAGATTTATCCATCGAGCTTTGGACGGATTGGATTTTGTGTTTGCCTACGTCGACGATGTTCTCATTGCGTCCTCAAATGAAGAGGAGCATGAGAACCATCTGAGGACTGTATTTCAACGCCTCAAGGACTTCGGTCTGCGAATCAATTTTTCGAAATGTGTTTTCGGGCAGGTGGAGCTTGAATTCCTGGGATATTTGATTTCTGAACATGGTATTGGACCAACGTCTCAGTAGGTAAAAGCAATTTTGGAATTTCCAAAACCTGAAACTGTTGTAGAGCTTCGAAGATTCCTTGGTCTTGTGAATTTTTATCGCCGTAACATTCCGAACGCAGCGCAGGTTCAGGGTCCTTTGAACAGTTTCCTCAAGGATTCTAAAAAGAACGATAAACGTAAAATTCCTTGGAACTCCCTCGCGGAGGCCGCTTTCGATCAGGTGAAGAGTGATTTAGCCAATGCAACCTTGATATCTCATCCATCGTTGAATGCAGAAATGCGTCTGATCACCGATGCATCTAGTTCGGGAATGGGCGCGGTGCTGGAGCAGTTTCTTGATGATTCATGGAAGCCTTTGGCATTTTTTTCTCGGAAATTTAGCCCGGCACAGTTGAATTACAGTACGTATGATCGCGAGCTCACGGCCGTTTTCGAGTCTCTCAAGTATTTCAAGGACCTTATTCAAGTAAATAATTTCAAAATAGTTACAGATCATAAGCCTTTGGTTTATGCCTTTTCACAACGCCCGGAAAAGGCATCTCCTCGGCAACAAAACCAATTGTCGTTTATTTCTCAGTACACAACTTCAATCGAACACTTACCCGGTGATGAAAATGTGGTCGCTGACGCCTTGTCCCGGGTCGAAACTATTGTAATTCCGACTCAAATCCAACTTGCCGAACTTGCCGAAGCTCAGGAGTCCGATAAGGATCTGAAACGTGTGTTGCAGTCATCTGATCTGTCGCTGAAATTGCAAAAATTTTTGTGGGGCCCAAGTAACAGTCCAATTTATTGTGAATTGGGAGGCGGAACTCTTCGTCCTTTCATCCCGGAGGTTTTTAGAGAGCGGATCTTTAAAATGTTGCACTGATCGCATAATTCGGAAGCGTTGTGTGTGGCCGAATATGAGTCGTGATATTAGAAATTGGTGTAAGGCATGTCTCGATTGCCAGCGTTCGAAAGTTACCAGACATACAGTTCTCAATCCCTCGCAGTTCGTTGCCCCTGAATCTCGATTTAGACACATTCATATGGACGTTGTTGGTCCTTTACCTATCGATAACGGTTTTCGCTATTGCCTGACGATCATTGATCGCTTTTCAAGATGGCCCGAGGCGATCCCTATGAAGGACATGGAGGCCAACACTATTTGCCGTGCTTTTGTGGACAATTGGGTTGCTAGGTTCGGTTCTCCGGAAACTCTAACAACGGATCAGGGCAGCCAGTTTGAATCACAGCTATTTCGATCTTTACTCAAACTCACTGGTTGCAATCGAATCAGGACAACAGCTTACCATCCAGCTGCGAATGGATTGGTTGAGCGTTGGCATCGGTGCCTAAAAGCGGCAATTATGTGCCATTCCACTCGTCAATGGACTCGGGTTTTGTCTACCGTTTTGCTCGGGTTGCGGAATAATGTCTTGGAGTGCGGTTCATCTCCGGCGGAATTCGTTTTCGGGACTAGTTTGCGTATTCCGGGAGAATTTGTTCTACCGGATGATTTTTCGCCTAATCCGCAGATCTTTCTTGAGGAGTTCCGAGAACACATGAGGGAGGTTCGACCGATTCCAGTAGAGCACAAACACAAGCAAAAGGTCTTTGTTTATAAGGAGTTGTCTAAGTGTTCGCACGTCTTTCTTCGAGTTTTGGCTCGCAAATCTCTGGAGAGCCCATATTCTGGACCTCACAGAGTTCTTAGTCGACCCTCGGACAGGGTATTCGAAATTGATGTAAATGGGTCTGCTCGTAACGTTTCGGCAGAGAACATCAAACCTGCTTTTTTTGCAAGAGACATGGAGGTTGAAAATCAGGGTTCTCCTCCTACATTGTTGAATGATTCTTTGAATGGTCATTCGGACCCTTTACCCGATTCCAGCAATCGAGACCTTAGTGTTAATAATCAGCCTAATTTAAGAACGTATTCTCGTAAAAAAAAGTCACATTTGCGACTTAGAATTTTAATTTTATTTATACGTATCGTCGAATACTTAGCGTAATTTTTTGTTTGTGTAATATATGTACAGAGTGATAAGACTACTTATTTAAATGTTAAGAATTTATATTTTTATGACATACAGTATTATATTTTATATTTTATATTCTTTTTGAAAAATGTTTAAGTCAACATTATTTTTTGTTTGTTGTTAAAAAATTTTTTTTTATATACAAAAATTTTTTTAAAAACCTACGGGGGGAGTATTGTGGGGACTTATGTTCCTCAACGTTGCTCCTAATTCTAGTGACTTTTAATTATCACGTGGCTAGTGACTTTCCTCTGTACAATTCTTATGATTATTGTTTGTCTGGCTGTGCTCAGAGTAAGAAGGTTTTCTCGGAGGTATTGTTAACCTCAATTTATATCTCAAATTAAATAAATATAATAAATAATTGTTATTGTTAAATATGGAGTCAGTATTATTGTTCACGTATTAATGGGATCCTTCTAATTTAATACCAAAATCCCATACTGCTCTGTTTACTAACAGTTTATATGGAGTAACCGGTGTAACGGTGAAATTTCTTTTGAAAAATTATTATTTATCTTTATAATATTTGTATGAATTTTATTTAAAGAAATGCCCTACAAGGGTCATTCCTGTATTGCACCAAATTGCCGTTCAGGGTATTCCTCGGTGGAAAAACATGAGAAATTCCAAATGTTTTCAGTCCCGGAAGGGAAAGAAACTGTCGAAACAGTGGCGGATCCAGGGGGGGGGTCATGGGGGTCATGACCCTCCCCTGGGGCGAAAGATTTACATAAAAAAAGGTCAGCTAATTATGGTCGTCGCCCGCCGCATCTAAAGATGACCCCCCCTGGAGTAAATTCTGGATCCGCCACTGTGTCGAAAAATGGCAAAAAGCCATTCCTCGAGCAAATTTTGTTGTCAAAAGTGGACAAGTTGTTTGTGAAAAACATTTCCTTCCCGAGGATATCCTTTGGAAACGCGAGGTAAAGGATTTACAAGGAAACGTTATGTCAACGGTAAGTTTATATATATATATATATATATATATATATATATATATATATATATATATATATATATATATATATATATATACATATATGTTTAAACTCTCTTTTCTACAAAATTTTTCCGATCTAGAATTTATGTCTTGTTTTTCTCGGTATCTACTATTTATTTACGCTATATATAAGTCAATTATTTTTGTTTCTGATTTTATTAATTTTCTAATGTTAGTTATTATATTCACTGTTTAAATAACGCTCAGAGTACACATTGGGTCAATGAAACACCAGGGTGTCTACTATTTACGTTCAATAAAATTCCCGGTTTTTTCCCGGCCTTTGTCTTAATTTTACCCGTCTTATTTTATCATCAAATTTAAATTTATTTGATTTCTAACATAAATAAATCTACAAATGGCTCCCAAAGTTATTAATAGAGTTTTTATGACTAATTAAAATTTTTTGACAAGTTTTTTAAAATTTTTTGAAAATGTTTTTTTTAACATTTTAATTAAAAAGTTGAAAAATAATTGAATTTCTGCAAAGAATGTTACTGTTTATAAAAGTAATTGAATCCTTCCAAAGAATGTTATTACATATTTAAAAAAATAATTAAATGTTTGCGTAGAATTTTATTAAAATTTTTGAAAATAATTGAATTGAGGAGAAAAATTTATCTATTTATAAAGATAATTGAAATTTTGATGAGAATTTAAAGAAAGTTTAAACATAATTCAATTACTCTGAAAAATTATATTACTTTTGAAAATAATTGAATTGTTTTTTAGAATTTTATAGAAATTTATGAAAATAATTGAATTCTTGTGAAGAATATTTTTTTAAAATAATATTCAAAAAAGTTTAGTAATTCTGAAGAAT